CGGTCTGTCCAATGGGCTTTCTCGGCCGGACGGGGCAGCGTCATCGGCTTCGAGGGCACTCTCAGCCGGAGGGGGCAGTGCCACCGGCTCCGCGGGCACTCTCGGCAGAAGGGGGCAGCGTCACCGACTCCGCGGGTGCTCTCGGCCGATTACCGCCCCGAATGGTCCATCTTCGAGCCAATCAGCGGGCCGGGACGGCTCGGTGTGGATCTGAGCGGCGCGCGGTGCCAAACGAGTCGCCGGCAAAACATCCACGCCGCCACCCCTGAGCCCGGTCTTTCCAGACTTCGGCCGACCGACGCGCTCTGGGCCCATAGGGGGTTCGCCACTTTAGACCAATAAACGGATGATGTTTTCCAAATTCGGTAATGGTGAGGACTCATGCTGTGCAATTAGAGGGGCTGAGGCTGTCGAGAGTGATTTTGAAAATATTGTTTGCGTATTGTGTTAGCAAGATACTTATCCGACACATGACGTCGCAATCCCAGACAATTAAAATTTTTGCTGCATTTTGACTATATGTGATGGTGAATAGTGGTGAATGGATCGATTAGTGTGTAAGGAAGCAATTTTTGCAACTGTTCAAAGCCCAGTTGATCTTCAGGGATCCTTGTTCTTCATCAGGCAATAGAAATTAACTGCAAGCAGTGCGGAATGTAACTCATGCGTCTCATTTCCTGCAGCAATGAAACATTATTGTTTTCTCGACGTTCGACAAGGTAAAACAGACAATTACTCATATCTCGTGAAATGCCTTCTCAATCATGCCGCACTCGAATACATAACTGGAGGAGTTTGTGTTTCCGGAGCATGAATACATTTTTCATCTGTATTTGACGTAAGCTCAGTTTGTTCAATTCAGTTCAATTCAGTTCAGTCGCTCAGATATGCGCAGTCTGGGCATTTATCTGTTGCCGGTCGTTTTAAGACCGGTCTCGCACACCCATATTTAAGCACCACCTCCATGCCATCCTTCTCACAACTGACAGATATACCCCTCCTTTGAAAGCCAACCACTCTCCACGAGAAAGCCGTAATGCTACCTCCCCCAGGTTCGCTTCACAGACCGGTTGCAATGATGAAGTGCGGCAACTTCATGGGCTTGGTAACGCCTGCCTGCCACTCATCTTCGGTCGCTTCGCAGAGTAATGCGGCCCGTGATCCTCCCACCAAACAGATCGTCTCACATAGCTGTACTAGTGACGATAATGTGACCTCGTTTTGTACTTCGTGCCTCTTATAGCCCACTTCTCAGCTTGGTTATCTTTTGAATGGTGGAGCTCTCTCCTGGTTGCTGGGAGTGGCATGATTCGAAGGATCACTCGCTGTCACGGAGTCACCGGTTATACCACCGATCACATGGAATATAGTGACGTTATTTACTGCTGGAGCTTGATGGCCAAACAATGGCAAACGCTCGTCAGTTCTAAACATCACACAGGATCATCACAGCGACCAAGTGCGGGACGTAAACGAAGGGTCTGGATTTCTAGACTCTTACCCACATTTCACGGGCTCTATATTCCTCTCCTCCAGTTATGTGTTCGTGTGTGACATAGCAAGGGAGGCATTTCACAGGAGAAAACGTAATTGTCCGTTTCACCACGTCGAGCGTTTCTCCCTGCGAGCGCCTGTGCACCGGCCAGCGAAGGCCGCCCAGAGCCGGGCCTGCCGTCGGTGTCTGGCTCCTCGGTGACGTCAGTACTGGCACCGTGCTGCTGGCGCAGCGCCGGACAGATCAGGCACCGGCACTGCGAGCAGTAACCAAGGCAGATCCGACCAAGTGCTGCTCACCTCTCGGTGTATCGGCACCCTAGCGTGCGATACCACCCACACTGGCCCGTCTCTGGCAACCCGCGTCCTGGGCGCAGTGGGGTCAGTCAGCACAACACCGATAAGCAAATTACCGCCGGCGCGCGCGGACGGCCGCGAACGCAGCGCCCATGTCGGACCAGTGGCGTGTGGTTTGTTGGCTGGGTCAGTGCTGTTTTGGGTCAGAGTGAAAAACACCTGGCTGGAGGCGTCGGGACATGCCATGGCGTACCGTGCCGCCACTGAGCGCCAACTGTCAACCAACGCGCGCCCGCCGAGTTGGCTTTCGCCTGCAGTTCTTCGAGCACAGGTCAAAAACCAATGTTTGCAGCAGTGCAACATTTTTAACACCTGTTCGTCTATCAATTTGCCATCCCTTTGTGAAAATTTGAGGCTTTTGTCTACTAGTACCAGTGGCCTAGGTGAGGCCAAAGAGGTCAACCTCTAAAACACTTTGACCACACATAACTTTTTGCAGATAATCTGCAATTGCTCCAACTTGCCATGGCAATAGAACATGGTAATACCTACAGTCTGTTTATTTCAGATTATTTCTGAAAATGCAATGTCAGTGACCTGAAGTGAGGTCAATTTGCTATTTTCGTACATGATGCAAATTTGTACGCATTTTGCGTAATTTTGGTTTTTATATGAGATAAAGCGTACTAGCTCACTTACACAACTATCATATTAGTACAGAGCAAACGGCGTTGGGCCAGGTTATGACCCACCTCTATGGGTGCGTTCTGCAAAACACATGCTGAACTCAAAATAGACAGTTTTAATAGGTAAGTGTGAGTGCAGAATTCGAATACTTCACTGAAAATATGTCGGGATATCATTCTAATACATAATGAGCTTGCAATAGGTCACGTGATGACATGCAAGGTCATGTGATGTCACCTAAGGCCAATGACCTTTGTTACCATTTGTGGAGAGGCTAGATGAGAGAATGTGACGCGTATGACCACCTTCTCATTGTATTTGTAAAGCTAAGGACGCATAATTTCATATTACAACGTGCCCGTTCTTCGTTTGCTACAAATACATTACCAAACGTCGAAGGGACTATGCATAATGTAGACAACAGCTATGCAATCTTGAGTGCCTGTAGATGTACAGCACACTTCTCCTGACTACAGAAGGACACTGCACTGGCCACATAGACCCGGTTAGCACTTAATTTTTTCATTTGGATGGCTTGAAAATTGATGTAAGTTGACCTTAGATGACTTCTAGGTAAGCCAAAAGTAATATTTTTGTGTCTGGAGTACTTTTTTCCTACAGCTGCACCTAAATAATAAACTTAGCAAGAAGCACATTGTGAGAAAGCGTCTTTGTTTTAGGCTACTGTTAGGTCAAATTTTAACGGTGACCTGATCTGACCTTACCCTACTGGGCGAACAGAGATTGTTGGAATTATTCCGCACAGTCTTAACGCTTATTTTCGTGCCCTCAATTTCCGCCGTGACGTGGTAACATAGGTTCCAATGGCATCCATCGGAACGGCGATCTTTTTTACCTTTCGTGACCTCTGGTGACCCCCACATTTGACCTATAGGCAATCATTTTGCGGGCACTTTTCATGATTTGACAAGACGTTTAAGCGGTATTTTTGTTTTTCTCATATCGTGTCTGGATGTTGGAGATCCCGGGGAAGCCAAGGTCCCCTTCCCGGCCGGGCGCGGGTGTCTCAAACCCGGGCCAGGGGCAGGCTAACAAGGCTTTGTGGAGAAAAAGCCATGTGAGGCTTATTGTGATCAGGGGCTCATGGTTCAACCGCAGCAAACATGTCTTCCGTACCATGTTGTGCAGTAATCACGAGGACAGCTACTCGTAAGTTCAGCCGAGATCCTGGTACTGAGAAGTGAGAGGGAGCGGCGTTACATCAAGGACAAAAACAAGCACGGGAGCTCCGCTCCAATGCTGCTACACCACTGGGTCTATTGACGGGAGGCTCCCTCCTTTCCTGAAGCATGATCAGGGCGAGTCGCGGACATTCCTCGTCAGGCTCATGGAGGTATTAAGGCTTTCCTCTCCCACCATCCGGTCCGCCGACCGGGCGCTGGAAAAGGTAGCAGCCCGGCGGCCTCTCGGACCGCGCGCTGCTTTTGGCGGCGTGCTGGATATTTCAGGCGGCGGACGGATGTCATGGGACTGAGTTGAGGAGGCTGAGACTGAGGCTGAGGCATGGATCCAGGGCGGTTGCCTGACAGTCACCATTCTCGGAAATTTATGGCCATATACACAAGCACTCAATAGCAGATTCATGCCAGTAAATTCAATGCGCAGGTGCGATAGGGTCGTAAAGTATGCAAACACGCTCCCAACATTACCTTTTTCAAAATTTGTTGAATGCTACTGTATGTGTCAAGGGATATCGGCCCTTGTAATTCTTAACATGTTTGACACTGGGACCAAAAAGTTTTGAAGGTTAGCATGGACCGAACAATTCGACAGGACGCTTTTAAAGTCAGTCGCGGTACATCTAGGTATCTTTTTAAGGGCAGAAACTCGCTTAACTACATCAAATGAAATTTCTCCGAGACTCGCAGCGCTCCCCAAGAATCTGAACGTTGCTAACATCGACAGCTAGATCCAAAATGTTGCAAGGCGCTGGAAATGACGTTTCCGTTGCACTGTAAGGCATGCAGCTCTGGCATGCCCGGATTGCAAACAATGATTTTACGACACGTTTTGCAGCTACAGGCCATCATCGCGGGCGCATTGTCCAGATCTGTCGGCCATCCCGAGCTGAGGCCAGAATTTGCACTCTCCGCTCTCTGCTAACCGCCATCGATCTCGGGACACGCAATGACCATATTCCATGGCATAGTTCGATGGTCTCCGTTCAGCCCTCGAGCTGTGTTCGTTCAACAGTTAGTGCTGCAAAGAGCTTTAGTGATCAATGATTAACAGCATGGGAGGGATAGCAGCCAAATGCTGTCCGAAGTTTTCGTTTAGCATCAATCGCGACTTCGCAAATGCATAGGCGTTATCTTCATTATTGTCTATCGCTCTCAGCAATCTTAGTCCGCTGTCGCTTTCCCCATTGTCGCCTGTCAGGTGGCTCTGCAACACGTGTGCGACCACTGGGTGGTCCGCGTCGCGCGAAACCTGACCTGGGCGGCGACGCGGCGCACGCCAGCGCGGGCGGCTGACCCGCGCAGGATGGGCCGGTGACTGACCTGCGCAGAACGGACGCGCAGGTCGGAGCTGTCGTCGTCCGGTGACGTGGCGCCCAGGTCACACACGTCCGGCAGAGACCGGAAGCCCTCCGTTTCCGGTAGCTCTTCGTAGCTCATGTCCCGGAGCAGCGCTGAAAGTGGACGGGTGACGTCACTGAGCCGGTGCGAGGGTTCGGGTCGGACGGACGGACTGTGCACTCCTGTTCAGACTTAGCAGGCCCCGCTCGCCGTCGGCCAATGCCCCCCCCCCCCCCTTCCCAGGACGGGTGAAGGTCCCCCTCACTAGCCCTTAACCGGTGCCGTCCCAGCATCGGGCAGCAAAACTGGGGCACCGAGCAGGGATAGAAGCTTCACCCCGCCCCGAACGGGCCGCCCGGACCGCCGCGGGTCGCGCTGGCGTGGGCGTGGGCGGGGGCGTGGGTGAGGGTCCTCGACCCACTGATCCGACGGGTGCCGCCGGGGGCCCTCCGCCGGCGGCTGCCCGCTGACGGACTGCATTACTTGTATAATCAGCGTGCTAACTGTGCTTTGTTTCGGGTTGAGTTACGGCCGGTTAACAGTGCAACTTCCGGCAGATGAATATTCATAGACCTTCGGCCGCCACAGCGCTAAGGCATAGCGTGCACACTGGGGTACTAGGTACGTCAGATAACCAGACACTTTTTCACGTTCAAATGCACATGCTTTTTATCCGTGTGCTGAACAGGAAAGCCAGGAGTTTATAGTCAATGTCATTTGCTATCTGTGGGTACCTTTCAACGTGGTCGCACATGCAGTGTGAGAACAAGTGCGCACACTTAGTGAAGATAATAAATACCATGAATATATCGGAAATGATATCCACAAAATATCACCATGAACATGCCAACCTGCATATGCATGTCTCGAAGAGGAAACTGCTTCGAAAACAGATGCCGTAATCAGCTACTGATCCTGGTACCAGTTACTGATGCCGTGACACACATATCTGATAAGGTGTGTTAATATGTATTCATTGTAAAGCAATAAATGATCTTAAGCATGTCAATGACCATGTTTGTAAAAGAAACACGAGAAAGCCGAAAACGGACAGTATTTGTTTAATGCTGTTTGAACAGTTTTGTCCATTTTTTGGCTAATTCAGCTTTGAGTAAAAAAAAATCACTGGTACGTTAGAAAGCTTTCTTTACTTTCCACACATATCAGCAATAGCATGTATTTATTACTTTCAAAACAAACTTTGGAATCACCTCTGTGCCACATTCCTTAATATGCAGTTACAGTACCTATCGACATATGGCCTTTAAGAAACGGTGTAGTATTGCCAAGAGACCGTCTATAATTAGGCTGCGTTTGAAGGGAGGGAGGGGAAGGGTGAGGGTAATGGAGGGCTACAGAAGAGTAACAAGCGATGGCGGGGAGGCTTTGGGCAACGTAATATTACGCTCACGTGAGGCTGCAAATCATGTCCATATCTTTAACAACAAGTTAAAACTTAAACGCCGAATAATGCTGTCTTCCTCCGAGTACAAGGAACGCGCCCCTTAGCTATTTCACATCTCTAGTTCAACTTATTTCAGGGGAAAAAGGACATTACTTTTTTGAGACGTTAGGCTTAAGACAGTGAAAACAGGGGGGGGGGGGGCGCAAGGCGTAACCAGCATACAACCAGGGAAAAGAGGGTTGAAAAATGGACGAAGACGCTAAACGTATTTATAGACGCCCCTCCGCATATAGGTTTTGCGCCCATAAACGTTAACTCATTAACACAGCTGGCTGAGCTGCGGTAATATATGAGTCCGCCTCATAGTCCACAACAGTAGCAAATTGCTAACTGTTGTCTCCTCGGCTCAGTTCATAAAGTATCGCATAAAGTACTAGGCTGACAAACCACATTCGCGTCCAGAAACAGAATCAATTGCTTGACTAGTCAAAGATGGTCAACTGGTAGCCGACCTCGAGGGGTTACGCTGTTCGTAGTGGGTGTGTCCCGGTGTGGCGTGACACGAACGAGATTATTTCGTACCACATAGCAACACACGGAGGGAAATTAATGAGATAATAAGGCCATCGGATTCGTGACAAGCTATGCGTGGCAAGGTTTCTGACCTCAACCTCAAAACCACCCATGTAAAAACATTTCATCAACTTTTGAACAGGCATCAAACCGGCATTACAACAAAACGGACACTGTTTATTAGCAAAACGGCAATTGAAAACCAAACTAATGGCACTAGCAATGACCGGAGCATACTTAATAGCTAGGCAGACATGAATATGCTTAAGCAAGAAAATGTCGGCCCCCACCCGCTTGATTCTGGGTGCGCCGGTGCCTGCTGCGCTCTGGCGCCGCCGGCGTCACGTGCGGCCGAGCGGGGTCGCTGGGCACGCTCGTGACTGCAGCGGACCGAGCGTCACACGTCCAGGCCACCGCTCCGTCCGCGCCCCCCGCCTGGACGTGGCCCTGCTGCACGCCGCGGGAGGAGCCGGACGGCGACGCCGCGCCGGACTGGGGACGGCGTTCGGACACCCGGCCACGACCCGAGCTCGACCCGAGCCGAGCTCGGCCAGACCTGAGCTCGGCCCGACCCGAACTCTTCCCGGCCCGAGCTCGTACCGACTCGAGCTCGACCCGAGCCGAGCCCGGCCAGACCTGAGCTCGGCCCGACCCGAACTCTTCCCGACCCGAGCTCGACCCGAGCCGAGCCCGGCCAGACCTGAACTCGGCCCGACCCGAACTCTTCCCGACCCGAGCTTGGTCCGACACGAGCTCGTGCCGACCCGAGCTCGACCCGAGCCGAGCCCGGCCAGACCTGAACTCCGCCCGACCCGAACTCTTCCCGACCCGAGCTTGGTCCGACCCGAGCTCGGCCCGAGCCGAGCCCGGCCAGACCTGAACTCCGCCCGACCCGAACTCGGCCCGATCCGAGCTCGTCCCGACCCGAGCTCAGCCCGAGCCGAACGGGGGACTCGACCCAAGAAGCCTGAGTAGCTCAGTGAGCGTGGGCAGTTACCAGTAAGTAGCGGATGTGTGCGTGTGTGTGTGACCTTCGGAGTGCGCCCGGCCTCAGTCGTTCCTGGACGCCTGCTGAAAATTTGTTCAGCGGCTTCGGAGCGGAATGTTATCATGATCATTGGTGGCAGGGGCTTCTCACGGGACCCAGAGTGCTCTGGCATGCGATCGGCGGTACAGCGCATTGTGGGATGCCATTTAAGTCTTTAACGATCCACAAAGAGACGTTGAGCGATATATGTCTTGTGCAATGTAAGGACGAGCAATACGGTCTGTATGGCATTCTAAAAATGCGCTGCATCAAACAAGCCGCAGAGGTGCACAACGTCTGCTGATGACAGCAAGGGAAGTAAGAGCACGCCACCGCCACACTGATATGCATGTTTTCCTCTTCACAGATTCGAAACGTTGGAGTTTTCGACTGAAAGCAAGAGCAGCATAAAACAGCTCCTGCTTAATCGCAGGGTCCTGGCATTATGGATATATTGATAGCCAAGCGCTTAGCGCGTACCGTATATGGTCCGGCATCAACTCGCTGTTTCGGAGCCATCGCCAGCTCTGTGACACGACTGGGGCAAGCGTTTCAGGTTTTTTTAGGCCATTAGAAGCGGCCTACTCAGAAAAAACGATTACGTAACAGGCCGCGCATCGTTGACTACCAGCCGCACAGGGCTTGGCTCGGGGTACAGCAGGTGCGTACTGAGGCGGCCCCCGAGCGTGCCTCTGCCAGCACGCATTCGCGGCCGTCCGCCGTTGCGGCGTCCTCGCACGCGCGCCAGGCGGCCGCGCGGCCGGCGCGCGGGCCCGGGTCAAAATCAGCTCTGCTCAGCAGGGGCGTGACCGAGCCGCTCGTCACGCGACACGGTCCGAGGAGTCGGCCAGGCCGCAGCCGGCAGCACCAGCCGCGCTCGCCGCCGCCGCGGCCCGCTCCCCCCCCCCCCCCCCCGCCCCCTCCGGTCAGCTGCCACCAGACGTCAGCACGGCCGGCGCCGGGCGCGAGCGTGCTTCGGCGAAGTCCGGGCGCAGAAGCAGGGAGGAGGAAACGAGCAGGCGCCGAAGGTGGCGCACTATGCCTGGGGATGACGCAATGCAACCAAAACAATGCGGGAGAGAGCCAAAGCTGGTCACTGGAGCGAAACCTGGGCTCGACGTCGCTTCCAGGAACTCAGGGGCTGAGTTCAACTCGGCCGGCCAACATTCAAGATGCATGCATTATGGATTGAATGGTGCGCCGGGGCGATTCTATCGGTGGGGGGGGGGGGGGGGGGAGGGGAGGGTAGAAATATCCCATTAGTCATTAGATTTGGCAGTATCTAAGTCCTGACTACGATGCACTCTGACAAATCTCCGGCGACGGGCAGAGCTTGCAAGTTCTTATTTTGAAAATGAAAAAGCATAAAAAAGCATACGATCTTTGCATGAGCATAACAAGAAATATTGAAGGCCAACAGCTTCTTAAAGCAAGTCACTAGGTTAAGAATGTGGACATGGAGTTGCGCCAAATCGTTTATTTCGTGCGAACGTTCACGAACCAAGTTAATGCGTTATAAAATTTGTCTGACCCGTATGTATTTTGTCTGTATTTTAGCTTTCAAGCAATTGATACGCAAAGCAATACCTCATTTCAGTTTTTGGCGACCAAACGGGCCAAAAATCTGAAACTGGCACTGAGCGTTCCATGGAAGCTTTCTTATTGCCAATATATGGAGAATTAATTTGTCCAAGGTCATCTAAGTTCAAAAAGACTGCTTCTTTTTTGCAAAAATCAACGTGGATTGGATATTGACCTATTCAACACAACTAGCACAAAAGCTGAGACAGAAAAGAGCTAACATGATTGCAAATATCGATCTGAATATGAATCGGTTGCCGACTTGACGAACGTATGTCGAATGGTCTCCTCTCGACAAAATTTTAGATCCGTTCCTGCGTCAGAAGCACGTCTGGGTCAGCCTCCGCCTATACTCGTTCCTCCCACGTGGTGTGTTGGGTGGCGATTTGAGGGGAAACATAGCTATCAAGAATAATAAGTTCAATGTAAACAAAACAGCGCGTTGATTATTCGTCGCGAACACTGTGACACTTTTAATGCGAACGTGCAAAGTAACAACTTCTATCAAACTAGGTGTTGCCTCAATC